TTGATTCCAAGAGCAACTGCAAGCATGCCACCAGTTGATGTGCCACAGATAAGGTCAAACAGCTCATGTATTCGTTTCCCAGTGCCTCTCTCAATTTCTTTAAGAATTCTTACAGTTGCCAGGCCTTTCATGCCGCCACCATCCATTGAAAGGATGCGTAAACCCTGCTTGGGCACTTGCCTGACTCGAATAGCGCGCCGTAGAACCTCATTCTCTCCTGATGAAGAGAGATGTAAACTCCACAAGATTCAAAAATGAGATTCCAAATATAACAATATATCATTTTCACAAACCAACCTAGGATTGCTAGAGCTCGGGCCGCAGCCTTACTCACGTTTGACTCAGATGAAGCTGTCAGACGCAAAAGAAGTTCCCTCAAGCTTTCTGACATAACAAGCACACGCCGATTTTCCAAGCTGAAAGCTAAATTACCAACTGCAAATAAAGCTAACCTTTGTACCTAACCAGCAATAACAAATTTTCTTCAGCTAAACAAGAGCTGATTTGGACTAGCCAATAGAAAAATGCATTTAAATGCCTACTATCATTAAGTCTTACCTCTGGATTTTTATGAGCACATAATAGTTTCAATGATCTTAATACATCCTTGGTCAACATTTTTTGAGATACGGTATCAGATGCAAATGCCAACTTTGCCAAAACTTGCAAAACAGATATAACTTCCTCAGGCCCAGAAGATCTAAGTACTCTTTCAATAGGTTGCATGATATCCGACTTCATTAATTGCATTGCCACTGAGACATCTGAGGCAAGATATGTAAGTGCAGAACAAGCTTGTTCTACCTGACCAAACGGCAATCAATTAGACCACATATTTGAAGAAAATTAAATTAAAAGTATTCTTTCTGGCAATTTAAGCTATCATACCACATGTTGATTTTCACTAGTTATCATGCTTATGAGCTGTCTCACAGCATTCTCATCTTTTCCAACAACTATATGATTTCCCTCATCTCGCATTATCTTTGCCAAGGCAGATGCTAGCAGAGGATGGTGACAAGAAGAAAAGCGGAATATAAGAGAGAAGAAGGCACTGAGTTTATGTCGAGAAGCAACAAAATAAGAAGTATTCTCCATCTGCAATGAGTTCAAGAAATTTGTATTGCCAGCTCAAGAAGCCAAAGTGATGAGTGGAGAAAAGGAGAAGAAACAAAGCTCAGAAATGATGATCATTACCTCTATCTGCACATTTACAGATCTTAAATGATCATCTGCCACAATCCTAATATTGGCAAGAGATAAGTGGCGCAAATTGTGCAGTGGTAATATGTCAGGAAGAAATTCTAGAGGATTACCAAATAGCCTCAGAACACGAAGCTCAGTCATAGCCCTGTCATTGAGCTGAAGAAAAACATTAGACCTCAAGAATGAATTGATGTATAGTTTACCACGTGTGTAAATGGAATGTATTACGAAAGTTGATAGAAAGACCTGAAATCAAGAAGCGGCCTAACCAACTTGTTGTGTTCAAGTGACATCTCAACCATTCCAACACACTGTCTCAACTCAACTAGTCATGTTTCCAAAGCACAAAAAAGAAAGTAAATTAACGAAAGCAAACGAATAGGCCTTCACAGTTCAAACACATAGAACTTTTTCTTTTCTTTTCTTTTTCATCTCAGTAACTTGACAGATTTGCAATTGCAATGAGAGCTACATGTAAAAATCAATTACTAACCAATGTTGTTCAAAGCTTACCAGGGACTGAGATCAACATGTTGCCGTCAACAGCTAGAACTTTCAGGTTCTTCAGCTCACCTAGCTCAGACGGCAATGTTGAAAGCTTGTTGTTTTCAAGGTAGAGCCTTTCAAGGAGAGGCAATTTGCTTATTTCAACAGGCAACCCCTGTAGATGGCATAGCTGTTAGAGACTGGTTGATCAAATTAAACTAACCCCGGAAGCAAAGCCTTCAGGAAAATAGTCACTAATTTTATCTTTAAAATTACTCCCCCGCCTCACTATGTTAGTCCCACTTTTTCTTTTTGATCCCTTCAAATTTTCTTTTCTTATATGGTTATACCACATTGAAAAAAATGTGGATCATATTTCTTACTCCCTCTGTCCCAAAATTATGTTACTAGTTACCGTTCAGAAGGTCAAACTTCATTTAAACCGAAAGAGGAACATAATTTCATGATGAAGGTAGTGTAACTTATTTAAATGCATGTAAAGTTTACAGTATATTTCAAACAAATCCTTGTTGATTATTTATAAATAGATATATACATGTGTCCATGCCCTACAAATTAAAGAATGACTTCTTTATTGAATCAGACCAATACTAAACACGGAGTAGTCTATTCCATTCTCCACCCCCCACGAAGTTCAATGTTGCAAGCCTCTTATTCTTCCAAAGAAGCATTAGATAACTGAAAGACATTCCCCTCAAAATTCTTATGAGTTAGTATTCGGTCACCAAGTTACTTTAACATCAAGGCAATGGTTGATAAGAATGGTAGTTCCCTTATAAATGTTAGGTCATAAGTGCATTCAAATACGAGGTAAAAGCATCCCTAAGGACAACAAGCAAACACAGGGAAAAGTCTCTCACTGTTAGTCCAATGCCGGAGAGGCTGACAACAGTGACACTCCTCCAATGCTCAGCGTACCCGACTAAAGCTTCCCCACCAGCACCCAGCCCCGCTCCATTAGAGAAATTTGACCGCATCAGCTTTAACAACACGCCCATTCCATCAATCTGCTGGCCAGAACCCCCAGTCCTCCACATAATGATCCCTTTCAAGGGATCTCTCCTCTTCATCACCCTCATTTCCACCCCTACCTCCCCTTCACCGCCATTTCCACTGTTCCCCTCACTGCCCATCTCCTTCAATTCAATCTCGACAGTGTCCTGCGGCGAAGGCAGCGCCACCATTACCTGTGACTGGAGCTTCAGCGCCACCTGATCCTCATCATCACCAGCATTCCAATCCAAGTCAACCCTAAACCCTACCTGCTGCAGATCCTCTCCCTCCTGAAAAGACGCCTTCGGAGATGCCGCAAAAGGCGACGCCACAGAGGACGATCGCGATGAAGTCGGCGTGGCTTCATCAATGACATCGTCTGTGCCGTAGCTCAGAGTCAGGTGAAAGACATCCGAGGGACGCTTCCACCCCAAACCCCATGACATTGCGAAATCACGGCGCTAACTCGCGACGACGATGATGAAACGGAAACGATCGGATCATACGAGGTCGGATTATTCGAATTGGATTCGCAGATTTACAGAAGAAAAGAGAAGAAAGACTTTTCTCGATCATGCATATTACATGCGGAGATGCGAGGTGTATGTACAAGTATAGAGAGAAATCTGACAATGGAGTCTCTTTCTACTGTACTGACTCCATTTCTATTCCATCGTTGTTCTTTCCTTCTCCCGTAAGAGACGGGTCGGACCGGACGGCTTCTGATTCAAACGGATGGCAGGTCGGCGGGTAGGGGGAAAATACTCAAGCAAGGAAGACGTGTTTGACCGTTTTTTTAAGTTTAATGGATGCATTTCCCCTACAGCACGAAATTGGGCGAAGCATGGCTTAATTTTAGGTTCAATGTGGCAAAATTGTACTCTTTTTAGGTTCAATGTGGCAAAATTGTACTCCGTAATGCTTAATTTTGACAATATCCAAAGTATGACATACCATCCCCGAGGATCTCTCAGCACCAATCGAATAGTTAGCTGAGAGAAAGTAAATTGAGTTATAATCTTTATCAGTTGGCATAAGGGTGTGATTCCGCGTCTGGTACTTGCAGAAGCTTCATCAATGACAATATTCTAGATTCAAAGAATGCTTGGAGTTACGTTTAAAAATTATTTACGAGCTTTTGCTTTATTATAATACTATTTGTTGTGTTTGTAAATCTATTTTTGCTTATAAAATATGAATTGTGCAATCTATAATTGGCTCTATAAGTACTTTTAAGCAAAGTTAAAAATATCTATTTTCTGCTTCGATTATAAATTTTTGTTTTTTCAACAATTTAGCACACTCTCAAATATCCTCTCAATATAGGATGATAAGGCTATACCGAGAGACTAATTACCAAAAATAAGAACATAAATCACCCAACAATTGTAAATAAAAACACTTATAGTTTAATTGTAATTAATAGTTTGGAGAGAGTGAGTATACACAAGAGAGTACAGGATTATATTAAGTATACTCGAAATTGGATCCTTTCAACTCGGTGAATATATCATTGTTCGTAGATATACGATGTCTACTGTAGTCACGTGAAGGGTCACAACATATTTATGGGCCGTGTTTGGAAAACAGCATTTGGTATAGCTTTTGGCATCTTTGACTGACCTTGACTTTTTTGACCAAGCGAACCGCCAAAACCATTGTTTGGCTAATGGCTTTTTCACTTGGCATTTTGATCCGAAAAGCCAAAATCTGAAATGCCAAGGGGAGTAGCATTTGGACTTGGCGGTTAGGAAAAATAATTTTTTTAAAATCATTTTTGTTGAAAGATATTTTATAATATATGTAAAAAAATAAAAATAAAAATAAAAGTTAAAAAAATTAAATACGAAAAAAACAAGATGAAATTAAAAAAATTTATATTTATAGTTCATTAAAAAATTTATATTTATAACTTATTATGAATTAAATGAAATTAAAATTTAATACTCCATAAAGTAAAGATTTAATTTTTACATGTAAAAAAATGAAAAATAAATATCATGTCTATATATATATATATATATATATATATATATAATTTAATTTTTTAAATTTAAAAAATATATATTTATGATATGATATTTAAAAAAATTGTAAAATAAAATATACCATAAATGGAGGGATGTCCTTTTATGTAATTTTACTTACAAACAGCTAAATATAAACAGCTAAAGTTGCCAAACACTTAAAATTTAACTGCTAACAGAAACAGCCGGTCAAAACAGCTAACTCAATCAGTCATTCAAACCAGCTAACATAAACATCCAACAGCCAACTGCCAACTGCTAGTGTCCAAATAAGGCCATGATTTAATAGGTTTCTTGGGTTGTAGTTGTAGAATCATATTCTTTAAATTGTATCATTTTGACTTTTGACATCACATCGCCGATTAGGTGAGCACCCATAGGCCACAACCACACACCTAATTCATATATCAATAACCCATCATCCCCAAGCTATGGGCGTAGCTCGGGTTGTTCCCATATATCAAATAGGTTGTCCGAGCATGTCTTTGGCCTGACGTGTGAACAAATGAACAATACTCTAGTCATGAGTCATAGTTCATAATATGCAAATTTATTGGACAATTATTTGGCAAAACATCATTTTTACACCCTCAACCTTGGCAATTCCTTCGAGGAAAAGACCCGGACCACCCGCTTATTGAAAGAGGTGTCTAGTTGTTCAATAAGTCATCCACTTCCGCTCTCGTGGGAAACAATAAGTAATTTTTGAATTCGAACTTCGGGTTTGTCAATAATTGAAATTTGTTTTCCATTTTTAGAGTTTGAATCTTTGTCCACCAACAAATATCCAAATGTTACCTAACTTTGTTCATTCGTTATCCTCAAAAAATTGACCCATGCTATTTAATAATCTGTATTGTAGTCGTCATGTCGCTCCGTCTTCCCATGCAATAATGAGTTGGCATCATTAAGGCGATGCATGAGAGCTGAAGAGGTCAAATCGTTGGCTTTCTCGACAAGATCATGAAAATAATAAGATGCTAAAGACCTACAATTTGGAGTAAAAGACCAATATGTTGCAATAAGAAGTCCAACAGGGAGAACGTACGAGCATAAACCAATCACTCAAAAAGTCAATAGGGACAAGAGGAAAGAATATGAGATTCATCCGAGAAGAGGCCTTCACGATTAAAGTTGTTGTCTTGACACAGTCTTATTTTCAAGATATAGACCGATTAATGGTGCCAACGTGGAAAGCAACTAAGGAGTTCTTTATGTAACTCTTTGAGAAATAGGTTATAGGTGGCAAGAGCACGATATCCTAGATTCCATTGGTTGGGTTCATGTTAGGCCATGTACAAAAAAAAGAATAACATGTAAAAAGTCTAAAAATAAATAGATCCCAATTTTGATTTCGAAAGCTATTGGCCTTATTGATCTTCACACTGAGTTGCCACTCCCCCTTTTCTCTTAGCGTAAGGTCTTTATCAATTGTGATATATAAAAAGTATCCAAGATATAATTATGTAAACAGATAATACCCGTTTTAGATGTGCCATATCCAAATCTGATTATGTCGTACCCGAATTTAAATTTGACAAGTATTTACAATGTCATATTCGAGTTCAAATCCGACGGGTATTCCCCAAATCTGGATATATTTGTATTCAATTAAAAATATGATTGCATCCTTCAAAAAAATATGATTGCATTTTAAAAATCCAAATTTGTAACCAAATATCCAAAACTATTTAAGAATAACATCCAAACCATTAAAAATATCTGAATGTGTAATTCGAAATAACATCTGAATATGTTGTAAAAACTACATTCTGAATAGTGAATATTTAACCAAAATAAATGATGTGAACAAAATATATAAATATGTAACTAACCAAATACATAAAAAGAAAAAAGTAATCGATCATTCTTATTTTTAGTTGTCAATCATAGAGTGATAGTCCTCCAATCATCCTAAAAAGTAAAAACAAGTCATAAATAAAATAGGCAAATGTAAAATATAGCTTATTACTCCATATTTATTTACTTTTAATATGGAAATTATTATACACATATGTCATGTAATGGATATAACATATCAAATAATCTGATAATCAATTAGTTAAAAGGATGCCATGCAGATCGTATTCTAAAGAAATCAGATCTATGATTATCAAATTCGTATTCGTCTACCAACCGGATATCATTATTCAGATGTTAGATAATATATGTTTCAAACGAATGAAGATATTTTTCATCTAAACATATACAGATGGTAATCGAATTTTTAATTATTTATTTACAATCTTTTATAATTTAGGCCCGACTGATATATGTAAACAATGTCTTGATATTTTGCATGATTGATCATTGCTTTTTTTCTTCTGCATTCCGACTCTCAAAATACCCGCATCTGGTAAAAGTAGTTGTTATTCGTATCCGATTATGGATATTCGATCGGTAAACGGTTACGAAATTGGTAATCATACATCTGATCCCTTTATAATCCACTCTGCATAGACATCTGTTTATATTTTATTTATCTATTGACATCTTAAAGTATAAGACATTTTTATATTTAAAATATATGTGCAGGCACATAAAAAATGTGTGTATGTGTACTGTGTATATCTTTTGACCCATATGGAGCGGTCGTAGAATTCTAATCAGTATAAATTTCAAAAAATTAGAAAAAAATCACCCCCTTAACAAATTACAATTAAATGAATAATATTTTGACTTTAATTTGAAATTAAAATATTATTCAATTTAACTTTAAAAATTGAAAATTGATACGAATAATCGGATGGATGTAGATACGTTTTTTATTTTTAGTATCCGTCAAGATTCGTATTTGAATTCGATATTTGATAAAAGAATTGGATACAAGTATTATGATAATGACACGTCCGATCCAATTAATATCTAATTACACCGTACAATTAGATGAATTAAACAATTTCTAAAGTTGTACTTAAAACTGAATAAGAATAAGAAGGTCATTTAAAAACTAAATCCCAAATCATGAAAAAGAAAATCCTGACCCCAAATTACAAAACCCGAAAAGCCTAAAAGAAGAAAAAGAAAATCCGGATCCAAATAACAAAAGCCTATAAGAAGAAAAAGAAATTCCCGATCCCAAATTACAAAAGCCCCAACGTCAAATTCTTCCCTTTCTCGCGCGATGTTCGTCCTTGCCGTCAACTGGAAAACCCTATCGGCGCCGCCGACGGGAAACCCAAACGCGTTGTCTAGAAACATCCCCAACTCTCGTTGTTGCCTTCTCACGCAGTTTCCGATCTGGTTGCCAAGTCCTTTACCGTCGTAGGCAATATCATCGGAAATCAGCCCCTGCTTAGCGCGCTGAATCGACATCGGGAATATCATCGCCTCGCCGCCATCTCTAGATCTCGAACACCTGCACCTTCGGCTACCGCTAGATCTTGAACAACCAAAACCTAGATCTCGACACTACCAGGACTGGTACAAAATGTAAGTTTTAGGCTAACACAAATTTCTCAGTCTTTTCATCATTCTCTTTGCCACTTCTTTACTCATCATGGAACTACCCACTGGCCGCCACAGTTCCACTCAGTCCTCTTCATGAACAACTCGAAAGGTTCCCTGGTAATGGTGGGAAAGCTGCTGGGTGACTTGGAATGGGACAATGAAACTTCCTTCCTTTACACTCTTTTCATAAACCAGGAGTACCGGAATCCTTATACCTAATTGGCTTGATGGGGCTAGCTATCTGGGCCAGAAGTACATGAATGGGTTCCTGTGTAATCTCTGTGAAAAAGTTGATTTCATCTGGTATTATGAGGATGTTGCTAGCAAAAGACCTGTTTACTAGGCTTTCTACACGGGATTTGTTGCTTATGTGATGACATTCGAAGCGGGGAAAGAGCTGAAGGACCCTAATTGGCAAGCCCATCTCTACTTCATAGAGAATTCAACACTTTTTCATTTTGCTTCCCCATCTTCTGATGGCCTGCTCATTGGACGAGGAGCAATGCATGCGGTGGCTCGTTCTAATCGTGTTGACTATGTACGTTTTCTCTAATAACTTTATTTTGTGGTTGTTGCTTGAAATAGGATGAAATCCAATGACTCAATGAGTATTATGTGTAGTTTTTAATCTGCTTCACACACACATACTCCCTCCGTCCCGTATATTTCTTTATAGAGCACTATTTCAACTTCATTGGAACTTTTATTTATTTGTGTTTTTCATGACCTATATGTAAGTTTTATTTTTTATTTCTATACCAAAATTTAAATAAAATAGACTTACAAAAACTTGGGATTTTTCTTTGTTTTGCGCAACGTAAAGAAACATATGGCACAAAAGGAGTACACACACTCACACCATAGTTATTTAAGGCGTGATGCGCACCAATGTGCAAAGGAGTACACACACTCACGAACACGATGCGCATATGTAGGCACAAGTAGCATAGCATGTCTAAATAAGTAATAACACACATAGGATGTTGAAAAGCATATGAAATTTTTAGAAAACAACCAAAAATCAAATTCAAACAATACCATATGCAAATTAAAAAAACCAAAATGCAACTTATGAATCAAAATCAAATTCAAACATTACCATATTCAAACACCAATGAATAAAATACATCAATTTAATAAACAAATTGCAATTAACTAACTAATGAAATTGATAAAATACAACAATTTAATCAATGAATAAAAAATTGATGAATAGATTGCAATTAAATAACCAATGAAATTGATAAATTCCAGTTGTTTAATCAATGAATTAAAAAAAAGCAATTATGCGTATTTCACAGTAGTGACGGAGAGTAACTAAAAGAGAGGCAGAAGAGAGTTTTTCGAGTTGGAAGTTTATTTAATAAAAAAAGCAACTAGAAAAGAATAAACCAACTTGAGATAGCTTTGAGACTGAGAGTGTGCTGAGAATGGGGTCTGTGGTAGTCGAATGAAGTTCCAAAGGCTTTTGCAATTTTCGAGGTTTAGGAGGAAAGAGTTTTGATGCGTTCTAGAGGTAAGCGTCAACCCTAATTCTTACAGGAGGACTACTTATAAGATACCTTATTAAAAAGTAATTAAAAAAGTTGTTCGTTCATGATGCGTGCATTATTGCGCCTCGCATCGCGTCGCATAAGGCGCCGATGCGCGATATTGCGCGCGCCTCAAGAACGTCGCACACATCAAGGTCCGTGATGCACTAAGGGCGCTTTTCACAACTATGACACACACATATATGTATATGTTTATATCCTCATTTTTTATTTCAATAATGTTGCTAGGAAGTGTAGGAACCTTGAAGCACATTATACTTTCAAGTAGAATTTCAATAGGACTTATAAAAGGAAATCTCTATTTATCTTTTTATTGAAGTAATGTATAAGTTATATTTGATAGTCAACTTGTGCAATATGATTCTAATTGCATTGATAAAAGGTAGCAAGGCCGCATTCAAATATGTTACTCTTTATTTTCCTGTAATTTCGTTGGCATAGTGAAATTTCTAGAAGACTATGATTTGCACAAAGGTAACATGAAATCAGTTTATGTGCTTTTTATTTTCATTGTCAAGGAAAACTATTAATATGATTTAAAATTTGATGCTTTGTAGATGTATTTTTAAGCACAACCACACCTCCTTTTAAAGGTAAATACTCCTGAAATAGAATTACACTCCATTGCTCAAAGAAACAGGGCCGGCTCGAGCCTATCTTTCGAGCACCCAATACACACACACACACATATATAACATTGCCTTTAAGAGAGCTGAGCAGACCTCTGTCTACTTCGGCAGCCATGGTGCTCGTGTTCCATTGCCGGCAGACATCAAAACTCTTCTTTGGCACCTTTCTTTTAAAAGGTAGAGATTGCATTCCTTCTCTCTCGACACGAAGATAGGTATTACAGCAAAGTTTTTCTCAAAATCTTTCGCGATTACGAAATATGGCTGATCCAATGGGCTCTCGCTTGACATTTTGACATTTTGACATCTGCGAAGGCTCAATTAATTATTTTTGAGGGGGCAATCTTCACTGATGACGTAGTTTATCGTGCTGTGTTCAGTGCAGGGAAACTGCCCTATACACACACACCCAATATGTATGTATGTATGTATGTATGTATGTATGTATGTATGTATGTATGTATGTATGTATGTATGTATGTATGTATGTATGTATGTATGTATGTATGTATGTATGTATGTATGTATGTATGTATGTATGTATGTATGTATGTATGTATGTATGTATGTATGTATGTATGTATGTATGTATGTATGTATGTACGTATGTATGTATGTATGTATGTATGTATGT